AAGACAGATTCATAATTATGATGGTTGTGAAGTTGTTTAAGTTTATGTTCGTTCAGTTTCAAATTTGTTGTAGGCCTAGAGAGCTGTGGTTTTGTGCACAACCGCGTGGAAAATCTGAGTTTCTGTTCTCGCACGCTGAATACTTGAGCCACAGCGTTGACAGCAGACATTGCCAGCGCAGAACCATTACGGACTGCTCACGTACCCGTGCAGTTGGAAACACGATCAATAGGAACAAGTAAAATAAAATCTCCACTACAGATACAAGGAGTATGACAGCAAATCGAAGTCTGTCAAGTGTTATTATGTCTATGCAGATCTACACTCTAGGCCTCATACCAGGAAAGTTGGAAGAGTGTTGAGCTCCTCTTTGTAAACTGTGTAGGCATACAAATACCAGGCCAGAATTCGGGTCTTAATTGATATTTGATCCTGATATTTAAGCAAACACTATATAAAGCTGCAAACTAGTTGAATTTTGAAATAATCATATTTATATAGTAACGGGATTTAAAGAAAATAATTACTTATTATATATGTAAAATGACTAAAATATGTCTAAGAAACAAAATTAATTTCACGGAGCAGAGTCGATTTTGAGAAGCTGACCGTCGTTCTTCTTGTGGAGGGTACGCGGGCGTACACGCTTTCCGCCAATAAGTGACTTACATTTTCTGCTGTTCTGTACAGACTGTACACTGTAGCATTAGGAAACATTACACAGGTTCGCAAAGAAACAGCCAATTCTTCCCCTTTTCATGTTATTCTCTTAATTTACGTTGTATTCAACAATATACCTCTATTAAAAGAGAAAGAACTAATATGACTGGAGTCCGTTGTACCTGTAACAACTATTTGAGAATATTTATTTTTATTCTAGGTCTCAACTCCCTCAGCTTAGCCTCCAGTTCTTAAAAATATGCGGACTGAGAAGAAATTAATATAAATATTGTACTATTTTTTTTCGATTAGTATGACAATATAATAATATATTTTTTGTAGATATTATTAAAATATATTTGAAGTACACGTAATATTTTCAAAGAAATTCTAATTTAGCTCTTAAATTTCCTTGTGTCGGGATAGCGCAGTCAATAAAGTCTGGCTATGGGCTGGACGACCAAGGGGTCGGACTTCGAGTCCCGGTATTGTCAAGAATTTTTTCTCCTCTACAGCCTTAAGACAGGCTCTGGGGCCCACCCAGCTTCCTATCCAAAGTGTCTTCGTTGAAAAGTCCATCCACTTGCTTATTTAATTATGCAATCACAAGAAATTGTTCGTTTGTGAACCTGAAATTAGATCCCGAGTTTAGGAAATCTAATCATTCTACTTGACCCTACCTCAGTCAAAACCCTTCCAGTCACTCCTATTTCTCCGAACCTTTTTAATTGTATCCTCTCTCAATGCATTTGTCCCCCAAGTGGCCTCTTCTCCTAAAGTTTTCTGGCCAAAACTCTTCATGCATCTCTTATTTCCCGCCCTAGTGTAACGCGTCACTAATGCTACTTCGTCCTTTGACAATACGCGTGAAGAGTATACACACTACATTATGAAGCCTATATTATCAAGTTAATATCTTATTATATATTTCAATATTAGGTCCAATATAAACAGAAGTCTTGCCAGCTGATGGACAATAACAATTTATGACGTTCCTTCTATTGCTATAGGCCTATAATTATGCACTGGAGTAAGACGGGCGTAGATATGAAATCTTGTAAAATAGACCCACTGTTGTTCCCGCACTCTTATATGAGAAACCTGATACAGAAGGGCAAAAATGTTAGTAGAAATAAAGAAGAAAACTAACTCCTGTAAATATGGTCACAGGCCTACTAGATTTGGTAAAGGGGCAAAGTTATCCCTGTGCTTAACTAATTAAGCACTTTGCCCGAAAGCGTATGGTGGAGTGGATGTATAGATCCACATTTTCTTGTCCTCGGCAATAGATGGAGGTGAGTGGTCAGCTTCACGCCCCGGGGCCTACTAGATTAGGCATAATTAAAATGAAGCTGTAGAGAAGGGACCGAGTACGGATTAAGTGGAAGACTGGACTAAGCTTACAATAACACAACAGTCACCTTGTCAGAATGGACACAAAGAGACTCCTTAAACTTCATTTCTGTCAGACTACGAACAGAAAGGATAGGCGTTTCCGTATCGGAGATGTGTGTGAAGTTGGAACGGGTTTCAATGCAATCTGAAGAAGGCAGAAGAAGGAAGCCTAATTTTCGGCCTAGGGCCGCGCCATAGCTCAAGCGGTTAGTCGCTGGCTTCCCACCGCGGTGGCCCGGGTTCAATCACGGGTCTGGTCAAGTGGGATTTGTGGTGGACAAAGTGGTGCTGGGGAAGGTTTTCTCTGAGTACTTCGCTTTCCCCTGTCAATCTTAATTCCACCAATTGCTCCATAACCACCCTCATCTATCATCTAGGGCTGGTACAATAGGCTAGAAGTGGCCGCAGTACAAGGGACTTAGTCCCACCCCACTGGCAATAAAAAAAGATTCTACCTTCAGTGCACAGAACACAGAAGTGGTTCACATTTCCAGTTCTGCAGCACACAACATATAGTTTGTTTATATAGCTCAGTTAGACATAAGTCAAAGTTAAAGATGAAAGTAAAATTGGCCGCCCGCTTGCTTAAGCACTACATCTTGAAGACGGATAGAGGAGTAGGTGCGTAGCTTCATGTATTCAGAATTTCGGTACTGGATGGAAGCATATGCATATTTAATTTTCTTTCAAATAATACAATTGTGCCTTTATAATTCCGAATAGGCCTCAACATAGCGACCGGTAATTCCGAACTTCCAATTAGAATTCAAGGTTCTCACAGTTGGCGTTTAAGAAGAGTTCTATCTTCTGGTGTTGCAGAGAGATGTAACTGCTCCTATTTAAAAACAAAACATTACGATAGGACCCTTTCTACCTGAAGTCAAGACAGTAGTCCGAAATATTTGGCGAGGAAGAAAGTCTAACTCGATTGGGGATTGGTATCTCTTATCTTAAATGTAGGCCCAGGCCTGTTTGGTTTTCAAACTAAATTCAGGGACGTAGCCTGAAGCCCTTCAGCACAGAGGTGACAGCTTACATCCTGACATACGTAAAAGTTGAGAGATGTGGGTCTTTGGTTTTCATTTTGTGCAGAACTAGGCAGTAACCCCATGTCCCCTACAAGTCTTAAGATTAGCCTAGGACATATACTAGATTCCAAATTTTCGCGGCTATGTATCGGAAGAACATACTGACTCCATCTTCAGGTCAAAAGTAGATGGAGGCAGTATATACCCCCTCCAAAATACTAATAGCTATCGTAACTTAACACATATTTTTGTATTTTAAAAGCATTGCACGTGGGCGGTGGCGGTTGATTTTTTACTCAGCGATTCCAAATCGAGATGTTCAGCGGTGAAAAGGTGTAAAGAAAGGGGCTTCGTCCACTTGACACGAAGCACTTGTCGAAATCAAAATTGACTGACACGAGATATTTATGCCTATTTAAAATACTAAAATTTCTCATACAGACCTATCGTACGCTACTGACAATATAAGAATAAACATTTTCAATTACCTATAACTTAAGTTATTTAGGCCAATGATAATACGAGCCTTTTTTTTATTTAGGTCACTTAACATACAGTAAAGTTGTTTCACCCCTTCATCTGCATACAGACCTAGTCTGTTAAGTTATTACGAATGTATTCCTGGTTACAGCGAAAAATAAACCATCCATATTTCAGCTACATTCCTAGTGACGCGAAATTGTCCCTGTGACCAAGGCGCAGGCCTGTGGGCAGTGCAGAAGTGAATCTCCCCTTGCTCGAGAAAGGTTTCGACAGTGGTTAGGATGGTCATCTTCACAGTATGAAAGCTTACTCTTGAGACTGAACGGACCTTACTGTTGCAACTACTGGGAACGGGAAACTGGGACAGCTCAGTCGGTATAGCAACAGGCTGCGAGCTGGACAGAGGGGTCGAATTTCGAGTCCCGGTAGGGTCAAGAATTCTCTCTTCTACAAGTTGTACAGACCGGATCTTGGGTCCACCCAGCCTCCTATCCAATGTGTACCCGGAGCTCTGACCCCTGACCCCTGGAGTAAAGAGGCCGGAGCGTGAGGCTGACCACTCACCTCCAGCTAGTGACGAGGTCAAGAAAATGTGGATCTATACATCCACTCCCCCATACGCCTTCATGGAGTAGTGCTTAATAAGTTAAGCACAGAGACAACTTACTTTTACCTTACTACTGAAAATGCACAGGCAACAGTCCACAAGTCACTGTCAGTGGGAATGTTTTAGAGAGGAATGCCATTGTGTCTCATTTCAAGTTTGTCAAGCTGATTCGAACTTCAGGTAAGTTATCTCCGATCGTATCTGTGCCTTCTGATTCTTGAGGGGATGACAGAGTGTGTTGCCTCATGTACGGTAATAACAATAACGAAATCATGCTGTGACCCCAACCGTGCGTTTCGAAGTGCCCAATCAAGCGACACACACATTTCAGATTTTGTCTATTTATCATATAGAAAGCAGTGTTTAGGCCTATGTAGGTAGAGATAGGGCTAAATGACTGGGATTTTTTTAGAACATTGAGGACTACTGAAATTATCAGACTGTAAATTCACAAGCACGCCCTTTCAGTCATTCAGAATATGCACATAAGTTAAACTACTCGAGTGTCAAATTTATTCGTGGTTAAGAGTTCCCTCGTCAGAGGTAGCTGCACAGTAACACAAAATTTCCGAGTTAATTTAAAGACTGTGTAGTATGAAATAAGATCTCCTGGCGTGAATCTGTGTAGAAACACAGCACCTTATACTGAGCATTCCTGTTCATAAATAAACAGTTTTTCGTCCTGAGCATAAGAAGGCCCACCTTATTGCTGGAAACAGCTAGGCCGTATAAAGCCGAAGCGCTTTTGTGAGAAGAACTTCTGCCTAGGACGGTGCTCAAAGTTTTGATGATTTTAGTACCGCAGAAGTTATGAGTGAAATCCTTACCTTTGCTGCTAGAGAACCCCAGGAAGCTGCAAGCAATCCGAAGAAGATGAAGACGTGGAATTGTCGACAACATCGAGCAAGGGTGTCGAGGGAGGCGGCGACGCGGAGTCCTCTAACTCCATCACCCTCTGGGCTGGTGGCAGAGGAGGACCAGGAAGAGCGAACTGCTGAGGACACGGCGCAATCATAGGATGGGGCTTGACCAGACTCGGAAGCGCTTGTGGTGGCTTGCTGAACGGGGGAAGAAGAAGTCCGGCTGTAGCGAGGGCTGCAGCATAGACGGCAGCAGCAGCTGGGTGTACGATATAACCACCAGCAGAGTACCCGCCCGATAATTGCTGCTGAAGACAAACGGGGGGATGGTGATGTAAGTATCCTGAAGAGGCCGGAGCCGCCACAGGGATGCTGGGAGCGTAGGGTGGTGAGCAGAAGGAGTTGCCGTGCGCCAGCATGGGTTGAGGCACTGCAGGATGCTGTAAAGCTTGCAGAGCCGCCGCCGCTGCCGACGCCGCATCAGGTAGAGTGTCCACTGCACCATGCATGATGCTATCAATGCTGAAGGACTTGCCGGGAACGTGAAGCGACGCTCCCGCGTACTGTTTCGCCTGATGCGACGCTGACACACTCTTCAGCAACGCACGACTAGGGTCGTTACTGGAAGCTTGCTGAATCGATGCCAGTCCCACTTCTAGGGCGTCTTTCTCGATTTTTGGCAGCTTGAAACGTTTCCGGCGCCTGAGGAAGCTGCCATTCTCGAACATGTCGAGGGCGGCAGGATGCAGGGCCCAGTAGGCGCCCTTTCCAGGGCGGTCGGGCCGCCTCGGGATCTTGATGAAACAGTCGTTGAAGGAGAGGTTGTGCCTCAGAGAGTTTTGCCAGCGCTGCGTGTTGCGGCGGTAGTAAGGGAAACGCTCCGTGATGAAGCGGTAGATGTCTGACAGGGGCAGCATCTTCTCCGGCGAGCTCCAGATGGCCATGGCGGTGAGCGAGATGTAGGAGTAGGGTGGCTTCTGGTCCCCGTACGACTCGCGGCTCGGCCGGGGCATCGCGACGCTTACTTATGCATCACCATTATCGCGGCACTGTGACTCTCATTGTCATAGCTTCCTGTGGGCCAAACATTGCCACTCTTGCCTATGTCAGCACTCCTCAATAACCGAATTGTTCATTATTTGTATTCTGTCTGTTTGAATGTCATTTAGACCATATTGAATCAGTCCTGCACTGCCATTACCCCTCTCATATAGTTACAGACACAGCTTCTAAGGTTGTAACGGTGACTACATGACAAAGATTTTTTCTCCCGTGTTCTCTTGTCTTTAAATAAGTTGATTTACTGTGAATTAAGGGATCAGAATTTAAATAAATAATATTTGGACAGGTATGTAATTGAAACTTACTTGAATTGTGTGAACCATTCCATGAGGATGGGTGAGTAAATTTGAAATCCAGAGAGAGGAATATGTATCTTTTGCTCAAGTTTCACGCAAATTCACGTCCATGTGTGACACAGCCTTCCACTGCAATCAGTTAAAATTACTGTAATGATTGTCAAACAATGTAATAATCGTAAAGTCGGCCATTCTGTTTCGATGATATTTTTGGCCTTTCTGGCTCATTCATGAACACATGACGAATTTCGGAGTCAGTTGTTTTGCATTCAAGGTCAACTTTAGACTGTAGTCAGTTTTGCCAAATATTCCACTTCCGTTACTAAACACGAGTTTCAAGGGACACGTTGCGTTACAGACATGCGAGTAGTAGAGTCCCATAGTCCAAATGCCCTCACTGACTGGCCCCTATATGTTAGTCACCAAGTACGGAAAGAATGTTTATGTTACAGATCTTATTTATTGCCAGTCCGCCAGTACAGTTCATGAAATTCAAAATATTTTTCCTGCTACGACACGCCAGTCACTGCCTCCCTGAAGCACTCACTGCCTGCACATACACACACTTGGTTGGTTGCTTCTCTCAGTCGCCTTAAACTTACTTTATTACCCAGTGGTAAAGAAGGCCCGGGAGGGTTCCTAAGAGGGAAGAGCCAACCGCTACCCGACTCCGCCTTAATCTGTGATTGGTCTGTGACTGGGTCGGCGCGCGACGAAGGGTGGGTCATAGCGTTTATTTTTCTTGTAGGAGGAGCTTTCCACCATTTTGTTTTCTAAAATGCCTGCTTTCAGTTTGTTTATATTTCCCGTAGTTTCCAAGATTATAGGTCAGCTTTCAAGACATATTTGTTAGTATGCGACTGATTTTCTTTGCATGGTAATACATACATAATGTCACGTGTCTTGTCATAGGCGGGACTAAAGCAAATCCAAAGTTTATTTAATTTATTCCGGACATGTGTTTTCGGAGTAGATCTAATATCTAGCCTACTTGTTTCCTGTCATCACCTAATTGCTTCAAAGCACTTGCTTCAAAACCAGTGAACAGTCCACTTTATAAGATGGGTTCAGGCATTAAGCAACTTCCGAAGTTGCTTGTGAGAGAGATGCTCCCAGGGTCACGGGAACAAGTGACCACACCTCGTAGGCTTAGGTCGGCTTGGAATGTACAAGCTTATGAGATCCATCCGAACAGGTCTGTATTTCCAGTCGTCCAGTTCGAAAAAACGTTAATCCACTACACATAGGCCTAAGTTTAACTCTTATGACCTTGCATAACCTTGTTCCCAGGACCATTACGTAAGGCCGATGACTAGAAATTTAACATTCCTGACAGGCAGGGGTGGCTAAATAACAATTCTTGGGCTTAAACTGGCCTGCACAAACTTTTTCTGCGTCTTACGCCCGGAACTGCGTGACAGCTTAGCACTACGATTTTGCTTCTATTACGTTCATTCATTCATTTTAAAATAAAACTGTCCCGAAAGTAAACTGCAAATTTTAACGGTTAACCCGACAGGAGAAGACCGGGTTAGGCAGATAAGTTCACTTTAAGATGGTAAGATCATAAATAAAAACAATTAAGTAAATATGTTTTCATTGTGTACGTTACACTGACAAGTGATACGCGGTAGCTTAGTTGGTCGAGGCACTTTGCTACAAGCAGGAAGGTCCCGGGTTCGATTCCCTATGGTATCATTGGATTGTTTTCAGTTAACCTAAACCTTACAGCCGCATGATGTCCCTGGGTTCGACTCAGCCTCTAACAGAAACGAGTACCAGGAATCTTCCTGGAGGGTAAATTGCGGCTGGCGCTTGAGGCTGATGACCTCACCGCCCCCTGTGAGCCGATTGTATAGAAAATGTGAAAGCCTCGACGTCTCACAACTCTATGGGCCTTCTTGGCCTGTTACAGTGATAGCGTTACCTTTTTATGTTTACGTTACACTGACACAAGCATTGATGTAGGATTTCAGGTTCTCACAGAGGTAGTTAAGTAATTTTCCATCTTCTGGGATATAGCGCTCTGTTGTCTGGATATGAACCGACGTTTAGGAGGAACGTATCACCTCCATCTTCATAGTCGAAAATTAGCAGAGCAAGAAACCAGCGAGAGCGTGTGGCTAGGCACCTGTTCTCACTGGTTTCCTGTTCGGATGAATTTGACCATGAAGATGGAGGTGATACGTTCCTCCGAAACGTCGGCTCACATACGGACTACACGGTTCTATATCCCAGAAAATGGCAAACTTCATAAACATTGACGTTTCGATGAACAATTGACTAAATCATAAATGATGTATTCTCAAAACATTATTAAGTCTAATTTGAGAAGTACGTAGTAAAAGGATATTTCATTCACCTACTCGAGGTGCCCGGGTATTGTGACTTTCTGGACCGAGCAGAATGAATACAATTCATAAGCGTAACCGAATCATTTAGAGGTCCAACTTGTTCACCGCAGACTAACCCATACAGGACTTGACACTCCTCAGTGCAGGGATCTGCACACGCCTGTCACAAGTAGCCAGGCTTGAAACTTTCCAGACGAAATCCAAACAAGGTAATTTCGCGGTCCGTGGCAGACTTATGCACTGTTTGTTTCTCTACTTACTACGAGACTAGTTAGAAACACGGATTTCAGCGTGATCTTTTCTTTTCGCCCACTTTGCCCAGGAATTGGACAAGAGCAAATATTATGTGGTGAGTAGATACTGAATTTTGCTCACAGTGAGCTAGTGAGTTAATCACTGGTGAAAAGGTGTTCTAGTTTCGAAATAGAAAATTGGTCTTGACATGGCTGAGGAATTTCGGGATCTGGAAGATGCTGGGGTATAGTCAAGATAGGAAAGGAGATCAGTGGCAGGAAATGGCTTGTAATGAGCATCAGAAATCATATTCAAGATTAGTGAAATCTTCTTTCATCAGACCATAAAATAATCCTCACTTGAACCTGAACCTTATAGGTCTGGGACGAATTGTTCCTCTTGCATGATATTAAAAATAGCCCTAAATCCTATTAACTTTCCTGGAGGATCCTTTCTCGCATGGGATTCTAGCATTGCATAAGGAATATTGTAATTCCAGGCTGGTGATTTCAAAGATCCTAAAGTAGCTTTCCTTTTAATGGCTCTTCCAGCCCATTAAGGACCCAGACCTCTTATTCAGTTCCGTAATCGTTTTTCGTAGACGGTAGTACTTCTTGGCCCTTCGCAGGGCCTCTACCTAAACACAGAATAATCGCATACACACACCAAACATCCATGACTTAAGTGGGATTCGAACCCATTATTCCAGCTTCCGAGCGATCGAAGACAGTCCATGCCTTAGATGGTGCGGTCAAAGTAGCTTCCAGAAGCTCGTTTCCTTATAATTTTCATTCTTATTTCCCTTGTTGCATTTCTTATGTCGTCTATTTGTACATCACCTGAAAATTTCAAGTCCGGATCATTTGGAAATAGGAAGCAGCTCTCTTAAATCTCTGTTAAATAAGTCAGCTCAATGTAAAACAAGTACTTCGATTAATCCAGGCAAAGAGAATGTGTCCAGTTCACGCTGTTTGCTTGTCTGTTGAGATAAAGAAGTTAAGAGAGCCAGAGCAAAGAGCGACAAATCTCTACCGCTTCGGTAGCCGCAAAAGGGGTATGTTACATCCTCCAACACAATATTTAGCTGCTTTTTAACCCACTGAAATAAATCTACACTCACGGTCAAAACAAAAAAAAAGAACATGCACTTAAAAGGAGCCGGGATAACGCAGTCGGTGTAGCGACTGGCTACAGGCTGGGCGAACGAAGGGAAGAAGTTCGAGTCCCGGTAAGGGCAAGATTATTCTCCTCTCCATGTCATCCAGACCGGCTCTGGTGCCCATCCAGCCTCATATCCAAGAGGTACCAGGGGCTCTTTCCTAGGAGGTAAAGCGGCTGGGGCATGAAGCTGAACACTCACCTCCAACTAATGCTGAGGTCAAGAATACGTGAATCTATATATCCACTTCCTTAATTAGTTAAGCACAGGAACAGCTTGCATTTAAAATAAATGACACCCAACACACACCACAATGGCTGCTCATGTGACAGCTCAATTTTTCGATGAGAATTTCGATGCCGTCAGTTCGTCTAGCAAGCATTAGCTTCATGAAGCTTTTCCGCTTTACCAGGGATATCCTGTTTGCCCGGTCTTCCCCTAAGTTCCTATGCAACTGGGGCTTAGAAGCGACAAATGTCTGTAGCTCAGCAGCAGCAGAAGCAGCACATTAACGATAGAAAGGGCTACATGTGTTGCTAAGGCAACATGTAATTTCCCACTGTTGTTTTCAACGAACGTTTGAAATTCAATTATCAGTCATCTGAACTCCAGCAATATGCGGACACGGACCTAGGTCTGCCGTAGGCCGCGCCATAGCTCAAACGGTTAGTCGCTGGCTTCCCACCGCGGCGGTCCGGGTTCGATCCCGGGTCTGGTCAAGTGGGGTTTGTGGTGAACAAACTGGCTCTGGGGCGGGTTTTCTCCAAATACTTCGGTTTCCTTTGCCAAGCTTCATTCCACCAAATTCTCCATCATCATAATCACCCGGGGTAGGCTACAATAGGCCAATCAGTGGCCGCCGGGCCGAGTGGACCCAGTTGGACTCCACCCTCGACTAAGCGAATTAAAAAAAAAAGACTTAGGTCTGCCGTACATAGGCTCCCCCTCTTTAAAGCGAACACTTTTCTTCTCGATTAAATAAGCCGTTCTGAATCGGTATTGACGGAAGCAGAGAAGCAGCCTCACAGGAATGGCGTCGGCGGTAAGCAAAGTGATGTCTCCTGTGTAAGCTTTCAAGCGACAGAGACCACTGGCACTTTGATAATGCAACGAAGTGAATGAAGGAAAATACATCTTTAGGGCCTGAAATTCTTTTTTGAATGATGTCAGAAAATCAACGAGGGGCTTGCCACTCTTCCTTTGCCACCAGTATCTGGACGTATGTATGTGAAAATCGGTAATTCCAAGTCTTTTATCATCGAACTTTTTTCTAGATTATCTCTTGACCATTTACATTTAAAGAAACACACACACAAAGTGCCATCAAACAGGTTTACCATTCAGATTCTAGAAGGGCTCTGGAGATGGTGCATAACACACAGAATTACTGTTTTTTTATTATTTCTTCCATCGTCCATTATTCTAGAAAAGAGAACGCACGACGTTTCGGAAACTGGATCTGTTTCCGTCTTCAGGTTATGAGGGAAGACACCTAATCAATTGGACCCCTTAGCAAGAGATAATCTCAATCACTGGACAACTCCTGGCAGATTTACACAGCCTTTACACGCTGCAGCAGCTCCATATCGTCGTGCAATTCTACACCCCCAAGGCCTGGGCCTGCAATTCTTCACTTATTTTCAACTCATGTACATTCTACAAAAGAGATCAAGTTGCGACGTTTCTCTCACATCGGTGCATCCGTCTGTTTTATCGAAAATGACTAAAAAATTATCAACTTTCGTTTTCTTCATATTTCTTCAGAGTTATTTCAGAGTTATTTAATTCTTCTACCGAAGACGAAACTGGATAGGCCTATACAACACAG